ATACACTGCCCTCTTGTGATAAACTTTAGAACCTGCACGTCAAAGCTCCTAGAGTAGATGTAACTGGACATGTACAGTAGCTTCTGATCTTGGTACATTTAAAACTTTAGTAAGATAATGAAACATTTTGCCCTACAATGCAGAAATTGCAGTTCAGGGCTATGGCACCACTGACCTTTTACAATGATGTTTGTGGAGACTCGTAGGACAGTCCCTGTGTTTTCTCATCACCGCGGGGGGTCTGGGATGGTCCTATCTGCTGCTCAGTGAAGCCTGTAGGACAGCGGGGGACGGGGGGACAGAGGGGTTGCAGGCGTCACCCCTTTGCCTGTGGGACACCCCATGGATTAGATGACCTCCTGGAGCTTGAGGAGGGACAGGTTGGAGATAGGGCCCCGTCTTCGGCACCTCTGCAGCAGGACCACTGTCTGAAAGAGGGCAGGGGCAAAGACAGGGGCAAGCACCTGACATGAACTTTACAGCATGGCTCCCACTGAGGAAAGATAAAAGGATTACTTCAACATGAAAAAAACACAAACTCTATTCATGAATATTGTGTATTAAAAATGTCAGTGTTATATTTATGTTTTTATTCTACCTTAAACTTATCCAAAATAATGATTTAACAGTTTTCATGTTGGTTCCAAACTTCTCAAGTCAATCACATTTATTGGCAACAAAGTTTTCCTTTTTATTAATTTTGATTCCAAAATGCAAAAAAGTGTTTTGTATGTGAAAGCTTTAGGTAATAATTTTTATTTTTTAAGACATTTAGCACAAATCCTGTCTCCTGAAAATCCTACTTTAGGAAATTATCATGGTTCTTTATTGGGGTGTGCAAAAATATCAAAATATCGATATATCATATAATTTAATGTGCTGATACAATATCGGTATCGTGGGCTGCTGTGTCGATATTTTGTCAAGAGTATTTTTAGGTATATTTTTACTAGATTAATTTGTGTAGACATTTTCACAGTTTTGAGTAAAATAGGTGTTTTTCACATTCACTTTCCACAAACTTAGTGGACGTAGTGGACTTTTAATATTAGAGCCATCATTTAGTCTTTTTTACACTGAACTGATGTGAAATATATTGTATCGAATTGTATTGAAATGAAAATTCACAGCATTGAAATCGTATCGTGATCGTGATACCCAGCCCTATTCTTTATTTTATTTTATTTTATTTTAAGAATTGTTGGTGGTGGAGGTGCAAAACACATAAACAGAAATACTTTTGTTCTAAGTATTCAGTGACAAAGTAAACTCAATGAACTTCTTGGGTGATTGCAGCTGTATCTGACAGGTAAACATGGGCTGTTTTGTTGAGCATAAAAAGACAAAGCATTGTGTATTTTACAGCAGTGTTGTGATGCCATTTCCTTAGACCTCAGAGGGTATAAAAGGTGTCAGTCTCTCCTCCTCTGTTCACCGACAAAGAGAGAGGGAGGGAGAGAGAGAGAGAAGGAAAGAGCTGACAACATGATGGACGAGCGAGACCAGCCCTAAGATCCAAGTCCACGTTATGAATGGACTAGTCAATGAGCTTGAACACAAATGGCCCTTGGTTATAATTCGGTGGTGCTGTGGAGATGTCCCGCTGTCACGCTGCTCACTGGAGAGAATACATCACTTTATCAGCCAGGAGCAGCTCTACAACCCAAACCTTATACACAGGCTTTCAGAGAGCAGGGCGACTCAAGAGGAGGGATGAGGGCTGGGAGGGTTCAACTGATGTTATACTGGCTTTGTCATACTGTTTGTGACTGTATTTGGTGTATTCTGCATGGGACTAAATAGACGCTTAGACGATACTCAGAGGAGATAAACAAAAATATTGGGAACCATTGCTATAGGTGATCACATACTGTGTGTGTAATAAATCCAGTATCCAGACTCTCAACACAAACATACAAAAATATTCCTGCCAAAATAACCAAATTACTGTAAATAAAGAAAAATAATTCATCAATTCAAGTCAAAACATCAACAGAAAAACAAAGTAAAATTTCTAAATTAAAACAAGTTTATGAATAACCATTGTAAAACTTAAAAAAAAAAAGTAAATGTAAATCTCAATGTACAAAATATGTTAACATTCTGAGCCAAGAGCATCTGCAGAATCCCCGACTTTCTCTCTCCTATTTTCTCTCCCCTATAGCCTCTTCTGGTGATTAGCATAGCGCCCTCTCACTCTGGTGCTGACTCATTACTAGGTGTTCGCATTTTCAATTACATTACAGTCCCTCCTCTGCTCTCTGTCCCCACTGAGAGGCAGCCGCCGCCCAGCAGGGGAAAAGAAACAAGATGCTAATTTTCTGCTTATACGCGGCTAACTACATCTCAACTCCACTGGAAAAACCAAACAAGCACCAGGCTAATTAACAATCTGAAAGAGTTAGAAAAATAGCAGTTCTTTGATTTGCATGGTTCATTTATAGCTTTATTTTTGCCATATGCTTGTTTTAAAAGCACTTTTGAGCCATACAGATCTGACTGTTGTACTGCATATGTCCACATTCATGCCAAAGAAAATACTATGAATACATTTGCGACAGGACAAAATTACAAGTTTCGAAAATAAAGTACAAAATAGGCTTTCTTTTTAACAACCATAACAGGACAACACTACTTAAAGCCAATTAGTGCTTCTAGCTTATGTGTTATCAATAAAACACTTTCTTTCAGTCCATAAGAGAAAAAAATGTTAGCAGTCATAATATCACTCTAGTCTCCACATGGGTGACACCCATTTTAAAAGAGGTAAGGCAAGTCTTTAAAAATCATTAGCTTTCCTCCCAAAACAAGCAGAAGATAACATAATACCTTAACAAAATCTTTTCATTTCACAAATAAGACCTACAGTATTTTTTTAGTAAAAAGTTTCTACCGATGATTGCTAGGAAGCTATTGCAACACAATAGAAAAGCAAAAACAAATCATCATAAAATTACAAACAAAACATACACTTTATCAAAGCAGGATGTAAAATTTGAGGCTACATACAGTTTTAGGAAGGCAGTGAATCTATAAATCCTATTTTTGGGCAGCGATAAGAAATAATTTATACTATACCTCTGTCTTTGTTTACTAATAGATTGTACTCTCTAGCTCAATAAAGTTTGATTTAAAGAATTAAATAATAATACGTGATGAAATATGTTATCTCCATACAAGCTATTTTAACATTTTTTGGAAGCGGATGGCACTGAAGTCATCGTGGTGAATTAGCGATCAAATTGTACACTCTTTTTGCAGGACAATACCACAAAGTCTGAAACAGTAAAGTAGACGAGGTACTTCTCAATGTAGTGTTTGCATAATGTGGTTTTACAACAGTGGTTGGGTGATTTGTATTGAGCATTGGTGGAGTGAAGTCCAAGGAGCTGTTGCAACATGGCGGTCGATGGTGGCTGGTACGGCTCGGTAAACAAAGTACAAGGCGTGGTGCAAGTGGCTGTAGGCTAGTGTGTGTTATCACGAGTGGAAGTCAGCAAAAACAGATTTATTTACTGACCAAGCGGTTTTAAGATCAAGCATAACATTACGACCACTGAGGGACAGGTGAAGAAAAAATAGCTTCTCTTATATCTCTTATCTCTTATATTTTGATGTATCTTACATGTTTTTGATCATCCCAATGACGAGGTTATATTAAGGTCGTCAAAATATAAATACATATTTTAAAAAAAGAACAACAACATAGTAAATTAATACTACAACTTAAATCAAATGTACTGATACTGAAAACATTTATAGGACAGAGCTGGACCTTTCTTATATGATCATAGTTAGAAATGATCATTTAAATATTGTTGTCTTGGAAATTTTGAGTACTGATTATATTTATAAATGAAAAATGCCCCCCAAAAAAGTGTTTTAAACCTCCAAAGAATAGTGATATAACTGTTATTTTATGGTATATTTTTCAGTCAGTCTGACACTTGGTGGTTGTAATGTCATGCTTGAGGTTTACAGTCTCAATACCAAGCCAGACAATGTAAATTATTTAACAAGAATGGTAATACGGCCACACTGTTGTCAAGTCAGACAAGAATACATTTTCAGCTGGATTTAAAAATACCATTTTAAACTGCAGTTGGCTTCACTGCAACAAATGCATAAGGAAAAAGGTACGTCGACCTCTCCAGCGTTACACTTCTGACATGTTCAAGTCTATAGACCAGCACAGTTAAAACACAAAATTGAACTGGTAATCCATGATAAAAGTCCATTTGTAGATTTGTAACAGGAATCCATCAGTCACTTTTTAAGAGCAGTGAAAATAAGACCATGGAGATCTTGAGATAGAGGTGCAGACAATGGTCAAGCGTTAGGTCTGGCTGGTGTACAAGTTTTTGGGTGTGCTCAGTTCTCGTGGACAGGGGTCTCTGGGGTCACAGGTGGACAGGGGTCTCAGGTGGGCGGAGTCTGTGGTGGGCGGGATTCAGTAGAGAAGGATGCGGCGCTCGATGGCCTTGCGGCAGATGGGACACTCGCTCATGCGGTCTCCACACAGCTGGCAGGTGCCGTGGCCACACATAAAGATCATGTTTTTGAGCCTGTCCAAACACACCGGGCACATGGTCTGCAGAAAGGAGACAAAAGAAGGGATGAAGCCGTTAGCTAGCTAGCCAACTAATTTTGAAATCTCCACCACATGCTGTTGTTTTACCTTTCGAATGCCAAAATGCAAAATACTGAAGACACCCAGAGTAGAGGTCTGCGCAGGACAGAATTTTCTGTCCTGCTCCCGCCCGCTCCCATCAAGAATATGCCCACATCTGCGATATTTTGTCCTGCTCCTGACCGCAAGTCCCGCAAGATGCTTTCTTAAACTCTATTAACCGAGGAGAAGCGGAAAGGAATTGTCTAAAATGTGAGATTAGACAACATTCGCAAAGTTCGGCTGCTTAAAATGTTTTTATTGATGCCAAATAAAAAATCCAGCATAAATTATGTATAATAGGCATACATAAATCATTTGTATATTTTACTTTACACTAATATTTCGTTTGTGGGACTGCAGTTTATCATCCCACTCCACCCACTCACTCCCCCGCTCCTGCCCGCACCCCCGCAATGAGCTTTCAAAATGTGTCCTGCGCCACACTGTTTTGCGCCTCCTGCGGGACTTGAGTGCAGGGCTCTAACCCAGGTGCGCTGTTTGTAAAGGGCTTTTGAAACTTTCTAGGCAAAACACCTCCACAGACAAAACTAAAGTGACCAAACCCCACAGGAAATGTTCCATACTGCACCTTTAAAAAGAGAATGTGAATATAACGTTTACCTGTTCTTTGATGTCCTGCAGCTGCTGTTGGAGCTTCTGAACATCTGCGTTGACGTTAGTGTTGTCTTTGTCCCTCTGCAGGGCTGGGATGTTTCCACTCGCTGAAGACAACACACAGTGACCAAGTCAGAAACAGTGCTCATTTAACACTTTATAGCCCAATAAAAATGTACAATAAAATTCAGCCCACAGAATTACAATAGTGGCTCTCAGCTGGTATGGACCCAATTTACTCCTTAAGTTAAGTTAATAAACTAACTTTGTTTGGTTCATTGTATTATACAAAATTATGCACTCAAACTCAAATGCAATAAAATACTGGATTACTCAAAACTGGATTACTCAAACATGCATGAATCAATCAAAATAAAACTAAAGAAAAGGGAAAACCTCATCTCCATTAATATAAGCAAAATATACACACTGCCTAATGATTTTTTAAACAAATTAAGAAAACAAGGCCTGAATTTCATTGTACTGGACAGACATAGCTGTAGCAGAAACAATAGTAAGCGTACATTATAAACTGCCATGCACATTTATCAAAGTACATATGCTTATAATGGTGTAAAAGCAAAAAATAACTTGGGATTTAATTTAAAAGTAATTCAAAAACGTTGATTTAGATGCAACATATTTTATATTATCCTAAATGTGTGCGTGCAATACTATGGGACAATTATCATTTTAGTATTACGGGTTTGGGCCTGGGCTGCGGGGAGCTCTGGTATCAAGAGGGAGGGTAACTTGTTCATGGAGGATACTTACACCAACTTAGAGCCAGATTGTTGGGCTGGAGAAGATCCTGGGACCCCCCTGCCATACTGTTAGAGCTCCCTGCTGAGAATAACCAGTCACATTGTTACAGAAGGAGTTATCCTCACTCAACATTTGGCCTAAAGCTACTCCCAGAAGCCTCAAGAGGGAGGATCAGGGACAGAAGGGGAGAATTTAGTATCAAAGTGAAGCAGTGTTAAGGGATAGAGGCAAGGGAGACTACGCAGAGACAAGAGAAGTATAAGACTGTTATCAAATGAGCAGGTTTGGGTTAAATGTTAATGTCACTTAGAAATGCCATAGATGCTGCCCCCGCATGACAGTTAAGTGTGTTTAGTCTGTGCCTTGTACTGCAATGGAACATAAAAGGAGAACTTAAAATAAAGGTGGGCTGCACAATATCAAAACTAGCAAGTACAATTTTTTAGTTCTTAAGTGGTTTAGTCGATTAACTGACAGATGGTGTCTTAGTGGACCAAATCATTTAGTAGTTGATTTTATAAAGATTATAAGGATTTATATGGACCATGGCAGATAGGATTAATGTAGTGAGTTAGCTGGAGTTTTGGGAGTGACTGGGCAGTTAAATCTTCCTGTTCACTCAGGAATATGCTATTTACAGTATTTCTCTGTATACAAAGTTATTTTGAGAGCTTTTGTCAGTGTCACACCCCGTTTTAGTTAATTAATTGATGCACAGAGTCTTGTCTTTTGCTATAAACGGTCTTAAAACTGTTTTAACTGTTTAACATTTATTTCATTGTGGAAGAAAAAGCTACAAGGTGACAAATTTGTTTTTTAAAGTTTCTGCTAATTATTTTACTATAATCCAAAACATTTTCCAAACCCCAAACCATAACTTTACCCGTTTCCTGACCTTTTGGCAAGCAATCATTTGTTCTAACACTGACCCCTAGTGGCTTCTATGATCACTTTAGAAGGATAATGAGGTTTTCTGTCTACTGAGCTCAACTAGCCACTGGTTTGGAAAACTTTCGTTTAAGTAGACAGAACTGTTAAATATTAAGAAATCTGTTTAGATGCCAAATAATTTTCAGGTCCCTATACTTACTTTGTGTTGTCAAAAATAATAAAGCATTATTATAATTCTGCAGGCAAATCGCTAATCAAATACCTGACAAACTAACTAACAAACCAAAGATTAAGAGAAAAGGGAATAGATGCATGTGTATTCATCAAATTAATTATTTTTGAAAATATTGTGCAGCCTGGTAAAGCTAAACACATTTATTCCACAAATGAAATGTAAAAAAAAATAAAATATTAAGATTCACTGTAAAATCAATATAGTGCATGAGCTCACTCACTCACTCACAGATGTTATGGACACATAAAATTAAATAAAACTCTTATAAATACTCAAATGTAATCAGTAATGTTTTTGTCTATGCTCTGAACCTTTGATAACCACTGTGACGCTGTGCTTTGGCTTTATTATATATCTATAGGATGGTCCGTGTAATTAAATCTGTGCAATTGTGTTATGTTAATTCAAAGGAGGAGCTGTAATGAATAAAACATACATGTGTAAGAGTATGACATTGTAATATTCAACATGGGTGGCAAAGTCATCTCAAAATGGCTTCTAGCGTTTGAGAAATGATTAGTCCAAATGAAGCATGCAAAATCTAGCTGCAAACAAGTTTCAACTTTGTAGAAACTTGCCATGTTACAAGGCAAACAATAGAATAAACAATGCAATGTGCAAAGCAAGACAGTAAAATGCAGGTACAAAGGAAAAGATGGCAGAAAAGGTGAAAGCAAAAGTAAATTAAAGCAAAAACGTGTGGAAGATTCACTCACTAAGGTCATCATCATCATCATCATCATCATCATCATCATCATCATCATCATCATCATGAGCGGCATCATCCTCCATACCTTTCCCTCCACAGCACAATACGAAGGGAGTGCGGCGTTCCACCACAGCCCGGCACTGTACGCACTTCTTCATGAGGCTGGCACAGTCTGACGGAGCACAGAGCAAGGGATAATGGGTTAAAGGAAGTGGACATAAATAAAAGTGCGGAACAAGTTTGGTAAAATATGAGAATTGAGCAAAAACGAGCAATGTGATTAAATGTATATTTTATCAATAGGATTCTGTTCAAAGTGCACATTTTAAAACATGCCCAGGGACTTTAACAATTACAAAAAAGTTTGATATCTGAACTGCTTAACTAATAGAAAAATTGAATATATTTCAGAACATGTCGGTATTGGTCTAAAATACAGAGTAAGCAAGTTAAGTAGCAATATTTTTTTACTTATACTATGTAAATTATTCCATCCATTGCAATATACTGGTTACAACCTCTCCAAAAGAAATTTTGATTTGATTACGACGCAGTTTCTTAAAATGGTCAATGGTATGGTTGGGCCATTTTAGCTGAGAGGTCTACAGCCATCTCTGTCAGTAATAGTTTGTGGTTTGGAGCAGAGTTCAGACTTTGAAGGACTATATTTTTGGTGTTGTCTTCAAAATGAAAAAGAATGCGACTAAAATCCATGAATAATACATGGCGATATAAAACATTCTCATATCAAATCATATAAAAAACATCTGAAAATGCACTCACTCTCACAAGCGCACATGTGACCACAGGGCTGGAACAACACTGCTGCCTTTTTGTCAGAGCAGACCACACACTCCTCGATCTGCAAAGAGAATTTAATGTAAACAAATGAGAAACAAGCTGGTGTAAGAGCCACAGGTATGTAGAAAATGTATACTGAAAATGCATAGTACACTTCAGGATATATCTTTCTACTGTGTCCCTACTTAACTGTAGTGCTGTCAATAGCTTAAATTCAAATTTGATAATAATGAAAGGGTTTGATAGTCAATAGTAATTTCATCACCATAATGACTGAAAATGCTCCTTTTTAAGCTATAGAATGTAATTTCCAACACAATATATGTGCATTTATTCAATATTGGTGTCTTTTATTAACAAACATGGCCATACAATTTGGAATTCTACTATATAAACTATACTTCTTTTGAATTAAACTACATCTTTGCAGTTAATAATACAGAATACAGATATATAGTAATCGCAACTGTCCATTTCCATAAAGATGACGACAAGACCGCGTTTAAGCTGGTAAAATGAACTGCTCATTTATATCAGTGGGTGTCTTGTGCATTTACTATGTCATTATTTACTAGTTTACAGATTCCACTTTCCTCTTAGCAGAAGTGTGGCTGTAATAGAGGTTTATTGGTCTGCCGTGTTACCAAGATAAAACACAGCATGCTTTCCCCTGCCTCATTAATCTCTCCTTTGTTTAGACGCAAACTTTTATTTTTTACCAACTTACTTAAATAATATGTGTAGTGAACTGGATCCATTTGTAACAATACGAAGCTCTTATGGCATGTGTCGAGGTACTTATAGCAAAGGAACAATACATTTCTCTATATAGCCTGAGGAGCAGTTTGTGTAATCATCATATTTCAGACAAATCAAGTTGGATAGACTAAAAAACTTCCTTACTTCTTCCTGCTTTTACAATGTAGCAAGAGCAGGTATTTTAGATCCAGGAACTTAAAGGTATACCTAAAGGTGCTATAACTTTTCTGGTGGAGATCCATTTCCTGCTTGTCTCATGAAAATGTTAAGACAGGACGGAAAGTTCCACAGTATGGCATAATGTTATGTTTCATTTATTCAAATATAGGCAGGTATTTGTTTGAGTTTGAGTCTCCATGGAGAAAAGATGGCTGCACAAAAAAACTTAAGTTTCAACACACTGCAAAAATACACTATTGAAATTATATTGTTCAGTAATTTCAGAAGCACTTGAACAGCCCATAATGTCCCTTTCTGCATGTTTGCTTTTCTGGAGTTTATATAATATGCATTTATTGGCTCTTACAGTAATTTGCAGGTTACAGTATCATTTCTATGTATGTGTATGTCTCAGACATCACCGCCTGTCATGTGACTCACATTCATGTTTTAAGCAGGTAAATGTATCAAATATCGCCCTGTGGAACAATAAAGCAAGATCGATGGCTTTCCAAAGCACATGTGGTGGTACCTTGGTTCTGGACTGGACCTGCTCTTTACAGATGAGACACTTCTTGACCCGCGGGGAGCAGAGGGAGCAGGTGGCAATGTGTCCGCACGGCCCAAACAGAGTGTCTCTCTTCATGTCCGAACACACCATGCACTCCTCCAGACTCTCCATATTACTGTTTAGAGAGGGGCTGCGTGTGCCCACCTGACTGCTGCACACAGGGAGGAGGAGGGGGAGAGAGGGAGAGACAGGAAGAGTTTAAAATAACACTTAAAAGGTAAAGGGGTGGATGGTCCATTTGAGCAAAGTAAAGGAAATCAATACAACTGATGCTATTCCCAACCTGTGCCATCTTTGTTGTTTTTTATGTTTTGTTAGTGTAACTGTAAATATCCATACTTTTTTATACATTTAAAGCATGTTTAGCTGAAATGCAGTATCAGAAGAATGAGTAACATTTAAATATCAGATGTGATTTATGCCTCACCAATATGAATATGCAGTTTGATTACTAAACTGCTTAAGAGGACAGTCGAGTGTACCAGTGGAGATAATGTTCTTAAATAGAAAACATTAATTTTAAAGTTAACAAAAGAACTGTGGTAAGAAATATTAAATTAATATATTATAGTTGCAAAATCTGAAGACAAAAAAGATCATTATTATAGTCTTAAACTGTTTCGGCCATTTTATATAAATATATTACTTTAATTTAAATGTCCAATTACATTTTTATTTTATCAGCAGTATTTCATAGATTTTGGTTTCAATATTTCTCCTTATATGAACAATAACAAATACCTTTCCATTAATAGAACTACTTTTTTTAACCTTGGCAGCTTCCTGTGGACAAGTCATTTCATATATATTACATTTGGACCACTTAACCATCACCACGACTACAGCGCACTCCTCACCTGCTCTTCTCCTTGTGGCATTTGGCCAGAGCTTTGCAGAGGCTTGGATCTGGACAGAGGTCTAGAGGGGACTGGCCCTTTTTGTTACGAATGGTCAGGTCTGCTCCGTTGGCTGCCAGGAAACAGGCGATGGATGCCGCGCTCTTCTTCTCCGCCCCCTGGGTCCCCAAGCCCATGATTAACTGCACGGGACAAGACACACAGCGCAGAGAGGGACATCAGTTTGGGGATGTTTTCAAGGTGAACCCGCTACAAAATACAATACTGTGCAAAACTCTAAGACAGCTTTATGGGAACGGCTAGGAACAAAGGATGGGGTATTGTAAATAGAGGTGTATACAAAATGGCATGAAGAAAAACAAGAACATCAAGAATAGAAAGTATAACAAAAATAAAGAAAAGAAATAAGAGTTACCCTTTTATTTCATTGGAGATCCCAGACTAGTCAGTGATTATTCTTTTGATTAGACCACTAGTCAAACTGTTCATTATTCTACTGTACTATTTATGCTAATTGAGATTAAAAAAAAATAAAAAATTACCCAGCTAAAATGAGTAAAAATGTTAACCAAACAGTATGTATTATTGATGAAAATCACAAATGTTTCACGCCATCTTTGTTAAAAATGTATTTTGTATATTAAAACTATTATTTTCATAGTCAGTTAGTCACAAATCTCAATTACTCTGATTAATCGCTGCAGCCCTTCCCAGAATAAGACACTTCTAGCTCTGGGGTAAATGCTGTTTCTTTTGCATCATTAATATCACAATTGTACATCTAGTGATCCAATACTGTCATTAAGTTGGCATCTCTGCTGCCAAATACTGGTTGTAAATAATAATCTTAATCTACAACACAAAAAAAATTACATTACACTATACTCGCCAATTTTAGTTAACAGCATTCTTTACACCTCACTTTAACTTGTGCACATAACTGTAATTCTTGCCTCCATTTCCCACAACAATACTACATGGGTCTTTTGTGGGCTTTTGGTGTAGTCCAGATGGGATTTCTGATTATCCTATTAAAGAAGAGGTCGCAGGCAATCAAGGAGGTGCTTTCAAATGGCAGTGCAATACTGTGATGCCCACCAAGCCCAACCCTATTAACTGTACCACCTTGGACGCTCGCACTTGTCTGGCCTGATTCAAAGCCTCTCCCTTGGTCTAGCAATTTGGGCTTCCCTTGTCTGATTGTCTTCTACCAGTAGCTTTTACATCTCGTCTGATGGAGCCACCGGGCCGGCTAATTCAATTCTCATTTCTGCAGGGAGAGAGTGGGCTATGGGAGAGTGACCCAGCTACACGTATCTCAATTAGACCCGCTGTCTAGTCTGCTACACTACTGCAATAGGGAACTAGACAGGATACGGAGAAGTAAAAAGACAGTTATACGAATCATGCAGTAGATGGCAGATCAACTAGAAGTGATGTGTTGTTAGCGTGAATGCTGCAGGGTTTGACAGGATCCCATTGGCCCCGAAGATGTATTCATTCAGAGCGGTTATGAAAAGGCTTAGGCCTGGTTGAGTGCTCAGTGTTAGTGTCAGGTAACTGTCACTGTGATGGGCCTCGCAGATACAGGGTGACCACTGATGCAGACGACAGGGGACTAAGGAGCAGCTGAACTCAAAGCTGACTGCGATTTAACAGCATTTTTATGGACATGTTAAGAAGAGAGGGCATGTATTATAGTGAGACAAAGAGTTCTACCTTTTAGGATCTGTAATGAGAAATGTATATTGACAAGGAAATAAATAATGTATTAAATAATAAAATACTGGGTAAGAAACAATAATGGATAACTAGTGGTGGAAAATAAATTCCTATTGCTGTTTGTAAATTATTACCTATTACCTCCTCTATAATAAATAACTGAATTTATTACTAGCTGCAAAAATAAAAGACAAAAAATTAAAATAATCCTGCAGTATAGTGGTTAAAAAGTTATCCTCTAATTATTTTGGGCACATTTAAAAATATATATGTTTATGCCATGCACAGTAAATAGGAATACATGTTTTATACAATGTCCACAAACACAAGTAAAGATTAGTACCCCAAATCTGTCAATAAATATTCTTTCTGTTAACCTATGTTAAATTTCATGAAGTGACAAATGCACAGTATATGTTATTTAAATGTGCACATATATTCCAGTAAAATCCTAAATAGTAGTGTTTCGTAGCTATTGGCCGCTAACTCCTGGCCCAATTTGCTGTTATGTGGTGTTAATAGTGCGTTGTATAAATGATGCATAAGTACAGTGTTCTTGGATGGTTCCCAGGGCTCCACTTTGCTGACGTCCTGCATGTCTTGAAGTTGTCGCAGTTGGGACAGTGTGTGGTGACGCAGTGCTTCATGGAGGGGCGTGTCTCCGTCCTTGTCCTGAACGTCAAGTTTAGCCTCCGCTCGCACAAGCAGCTGCAAAAACAATACATGAAGAAGAGACACTTGATGGATAACTGTTCTACAACTTTATACTCCATAAAACTATTTAATTTAATGTCACGAGACAAATGTCAAGTGCTGGTCCACAGTGAACAGCTCCAGTGTGCCAATTATGAGGTGCATTTATTCTTGAGCCCACAAGAGGGCAACGTGGCAGTCTTAATTCCTCACTACAGCTACAGACACAGCATTTGTTCATCAGCTTTTTACAAGTGAAATATTAAGCTCAGTGTGGAATATTTGTGGAATCAAAACAGGTGCATTTTAAAATTTGTGCAGACTAAAATAAAAGACTGGCAAAAACTATTTTGATGTGGCAATACATTTTTGATTAGTATTAAACAGGAAAATATTATTATTGAATTAAATTTCTTGTAGTTTTAATAAATTCATGAAATTAAAAGGCTCATCTTACCCGAACAATCTGTGTGTGTTGGCGCTCTACTGCCAGATGTAAGGCTGTCTGTTGGTTTACGTTCTGGATGTCCAGGCTGGCATTTCCCTGAGAAGAGGAAACACACAAAAAAATCTATTTAGAAAAAATAAATAAATACATTTTATTGAATTTATTTTTCAATATTTAAGAAAAACATTTAAACTGTAAAGATTCTGTGCAAGTATACCTTTTTTTTATCCAGACTAACAAAGTCGCATCTTTAAACGCACCCTGCTAACAGTGTTGCATGTGATTGTCATTTCCAATTGCAAACACCTCGGCTGAGGAGATGTGAGGGGGAGATAAGCATTGTGATCAGGCAGTGTGTGAAATCCCAAAGTAATAAAACTGACGGACTGGTGCGCTGGCAGCAGATCTGCAGTGCACCTTGTGTGTGGTGCAGTTTCTGAATAGAAAGCTGAGCCATCAGTGTGAACTAGTCCATTGCAGGGCCTGGTCCTAACACACCCCTCCAAAAGGAATGCTCATGTGTTGGAGCAATGCACCATATCCTAATTAACCTGCTTCCTGCTTGGTCAGGTGACTTTTGTCATAAACTCCAGTATGGTTCAGTCCTGAGGGACAAAAAAACTGCAATTTCAAATGGGAAAAGAGAGCACACCTATGACGGCAGGAGGAGATGTGAGGGCCAGCAGCAGTAAAGCAGAGCCCCTGGAGGCCGTGTGAACCGTATGGATTCAATAAAAAAGAGCAGCTCTAGTCAGTTCAACTGGTCCACAGCTCGCTGGCTGCTGGGACTGCAGTAGGAGCTTGTCTTAATGGTGTGTAGTCAGGAAGATCCAGGAGGGCAAGCGGAGCTGATGCAGCAATGTTGGGCCACATAATGAAGGGTATCTCACAGTGCATGAATAATGGCATTTGTGTTGTCAGGCTCGTGATTAAACATGTGTTAAAATTAGCCCTGTATGTTTGAAGGTACCTGGTGCACCAGCAGCTCCGCCACCTCCACGTGGTTGTTGAGAGCAGCCAGGTGCAGAGCCGTGTATCCATCGTCCTTCTTCTCATCCACGATCCACGGCCTGGGCAGTTTGGACAGCAGCACCCGCATCGCACTGTAGAGAGCACAAGGAGAGACAGGCCAGTGTGAAGAAGGGTCAAGCTATTTGATAAACCCATGTCAAAAATTGTCTGCCAAATTTAATCTGTGAGTAAACATCTCGTGCAGTATGTGATCGCCTGCAGCCAGACAAGCTGTTGTACGCTAACACATCACAGGTCTGGGCTGATATGCACTGCATATTCCAGTACACCTTTCTCTTTTTACAGCAGAGCAGATCCCATTTTCACACATGGGGACGAGAATACTAAATCAACTTAGGGAGGCGCTGCGTTCCTAAACATACTTTTATTTACATCAGACTTTGAGAAATACTGATGTTATTCTAGAGAAACTGTGCCCTGCCATCTCCCATGATGATGTAAGGAGTGCTTAACTTACTGAGGCAAAACTGTAATTATACAACATTTACAATCATTCACTCAAGTTTAGTCTGAGATAAAGTAGCGGTCTTGGAGTCTCAAAAGAGGAAGCAGATATGGTTTAAAGAGCTCCTGAATTTAAGTGGTCTGAGTGTATCCGTATTGCTCCAAAGAAGGTCGTATGAAGGGCATGTGCAACAACAAGGTGGTGCAGCAATTTCTGCAAATGCATCTGTGCATTGGGACATGGGACAATTTAACTATATTTTCAGAGCTGAGCAGGTTTAGCCCAAACATAGTATTTTTTCGTTGTCTACTTCTAAGGTATTTTCGTTTAATTTCATGGTTCATATATTTTTTTTCTATTTCAATGCATTTTTAGAGACAATCAATGATCTTGAGAAAAGTATACACTCATAGTCAAAGCCTGTTTTATCCAGTAGCAAATAATACCAATGATATTAGTTTACCATCCTCAAATTAAGATTGTATTAAATTAAACTGAAATACACAATGTACCCTTCAAACGCATAAAAGCCCAGCACAGTGGAGAGCAGTATTGACCTTGATTAACCCTGAGCACTTATGCATGGCGTATCTTTGAACTGCGACATGAAGCGCTTGCTCCGATTGAAACAAGGCTGAAATGCTGCTACTCAAGCGCTGGAGTGTTTCCGTCCACAAAAGTAGATTCAAAATGGTCTGGACTAGTGCGGTCTTCATTGGACTGTGAGTGGCCATAAAGGACGCATTGAACGCACAGTGTTAACTATTAAGACAGTGAAAGAAGAGAAATGCAAATGAACACAAGTGTCAGGCTTTGAGGTGGAGGGTAATCAGTGTAGCTGCTTCCCTGTGGGTTTTTGCTCAACCTACAGCTCGTCTGGCTCCTTCACGAGTAATGAAAGTGAGCATGATCAGCAGAGGCTCTGGAGAGAGGCAGAAAAAGGCCAGCGAGAGAGAGGCAGGGGGCAGGCATCAGCAGCCTCCACTCTACTGCAGTGATGAACAGCGCAGCACACTGATCCAGCCTCTGCTCCTCACGCACACACCTGCATCGCTTGCAGCCATCTTCAACACTTAATGCAGAGGAGCAGTGCTTAACCGCGATAGCAGCCGCGCCCACTCGCCCTAATCTAACATTCACACTGTGTAGCTCTTGTTACACTCAACTATTTGCTTGGATACAGTGGATTAAAAATCTCATGGGGCCTTTTGCGTAATCTCATCTGTGAAGCTCCCACCGGGTAAAAAGAGGAGACTTGACACTAAACAAGCTAATTATTCAACACAAAAACACAGGAGAGTGTTGCTTAAGGCAAAGGCATAAAACTAGGGGTGAAACTTGACACTCTGTCGAGCAAAATTACTAGAACAAATTACAACACAAAAAACTACCAATGTGCTTTGTTCTTGCAGTTTCAGGTCCTACATCTATTCTATATATACACATTTACACACGTGGGATTGGATGGAAATATGGTCTATACGTAGGGCCGCCAGCCAATCAGAGCAGGTGTGGATTGGCGCCCCCTCGTGCCTGAATGCAACAGTGACATTCTGGGCAGGTTTTAGCTGGACCATGGAGTCTTTCCAGAAAAAAGACTGACAGGTTTCCAGCCACGCTGGGCAAAATGGGTAGAGACATTAATATTAATGCCCCATAGTAGCACAGCTGCATTGCAGTTAAGCCAATTGCTCGAAAAGATCAACTGTGGTGTTTTTATTGTTGTGGGTAAGTGGTGTTGGCAACTACTGAGGCTAAAATAAGACATAACAGCGTTATTGTGAAGGACACAATAAGGAAGAGAAGAGAGGTGTATCGGTAAAGACTATCCAGAGACTGTTTAACTGAAGAAGCATTCACATCAAGCCCACTACAACTTAGACAGGTATTTAATGTGTGCTTGTTACTTGTTAAACTAACCACTCAGAACCACACTGTGCAGAAGCTGCTGAGAGGAGCCAGAGCTGAGAGGCTGAGAGGAAACAGATGAGAGGAGGAGGATAAGAGGAGGAGGGTGAGAGGAGGACGCAGAGGAGGCAGTGGGTGAGAGGAGGAGGAGGATGCAGAGGAGGAAGTGGGTGAGAGGAGGAGATACTGGTGAGAGGAGAAGTGCGCATGGTGGAACTGGGTCATCCTGTGAGAGCTCTGGAGCCTCCAGAGAGCTCACTGCGGCCCGTTGTCTGCGGTTGCTATTTGTCATTGAGCGGACGCTGCCTGAAGCCTGGAGCTACTGGGGTGCCTTTGTCGACGCGTGTAAAAGTGTGAACTAAACGTGAGCGCGGAGGTCAACAGACACGGCCCTTCTGCCTCCCTGACAGCCATCTGTGAGGTGGCCATTGGCTTTTAGAGGAAAGAGAATGTGAAAGCTAGAGATGGAAGTTAGGTTTGGACAGGACAGCGCAGCAACAGTCAACATCTAGCACCAGATTAATGGCTGTGCACAAACATATGGTTAGTCTGATGGTGGAGACGTGTTTGGCATATGCTCCAGTATTAACACAGGCATGGAAATGGCACATCTCATTGGCCGCACAAACCTGTCACCTGCATCAGAAACTAAATGACAGAAATTGCAGTGTTCATCATTAGAAGACCATAGCAAACACAATAGACTTTCCCCATTTACTCTAAAACTGAACATAAATTTGTAAAGCACTGAAAAAGCACCAAAAATTAAACACAGTTACCCAATACTTCTTCAAATTTCTTTCCAAGTCAAATTATCTTGCTTCGTAAATGATTTAGGATTAGGATTTGCATTAGGATTTTGTCACTTGGATGCTCTTCCAAACAGGCTTGGGTTGGGGTCTAACTAAAACAATACAAAGTATTGTGTTTTATACATATAGATCCATGAAGATTATTACAACAACATTCAACATTCAACATACAAATCAAATTCTCAAGAGAGCTGCAACAATATGAGTCAGAGTCATTTTTGATTACCCGACTGGTCAAATTATTTTTTTCTATGGTACGTTGAGACTTTTCAAATGCAGTATCAACTACATAAACCCCATGTTTTGAGTGAATGTTTCTAAATACAAATAAAGTATTATTGATGAGAATAAGATTCAAAACAAATATTTTTGGCATTTCATTATTTAATAATGCCACTGTCTTTGTGATAAAGACAGTGGCAGTTTCGTATGCGTATGTCGTATGGAGTCTGTATAGTCCAAATAATTATTACGATGATCAAATACAACTATGATTATGTTTTTGAGTCAACTAGAAACAATTAGTTGATTGACTGTTGCAGCTATAATCAAATTAGTTTTTAGGTGCTAAATGAAAAGCTGTGCAAATAAAAGCCCCTAAATCTTGCTTAAAGTGGATATAAAATTGGCTCTAAACACAACATGGGAAACTCAAAATAGTACACATCTTTTTTCTAAACACAATTTCTCCACTTGGCCAGTGCCCTCTTGCAGAGAGTGGCCTTCCTGCGGTGGACAGAGTAAATAAACACAGGTAGCATCAGTGCCAGAGGTGCAGCTCCGAGCCGAGGACAAGAACCTTACTGGCTCTGCTCCCTAATAAAAAAGCTTCCATTACCATAGCGTGAAGAGAATAATTTCCCCTACAATGTGACCTTCCCGGGCCCGGCTGCCTCTACCTGCGGCCCCTGAGTGAGCCTGCTTTTATTAAGGACTATTTGCATAAAGCTAGGAAGGGGGAAGAGAAGACGGGACATGGGCGCGTTCCTATGATGTTTTTGGTTATCGCTATAGCTACTGCCGCTGCCTTGAAGGTTGTTTAGAAGACAGGTGGCGCATTTTCAAACATCTCGGGTGCTGCTGGCTGTCTGTTCACAAATGTAGACAGGGACCTATAAAGGCTTAGCTTTAATTAGCCTTGATTCACCTGGTATTATGGGGTGTCCTGATTCATTGCAATGTAAGTAGGAAGAGGCAGGGAAGACAGTCGGAGGAGCCCAATGGCGCGTTAATGTCCCATTGGTTTGAGATGACCCAATTATTTTCCCATGCTACTCTTTGCACTTTATTCGCCTCTGCACCTTGAAAAACCTCTCTCTCATTTCTACATAAGCAATAAAAGTCATAATATATACATCACTCAAACAAAAAAAAGTGAAAAACAAAAGACGACATAAATAAGACGCCAAGGACAGGCAGTTTGCAGAAGATATTACTCCGAAATGGTGACTCACGTTGAACAATTGCCGAAGCATCACTGTCAATAAAACAACCATGTAATTACTCAGCTATACACATGACCTTGGATACGCCGCAATCCAAATTCAATCTAATTTGAGATGAGAATGGTTTGTAAAATTTATATTCTGGGTAAATGATCGCATAATATCGCATGGAGTAATAAACTATTTAATTTGGACAGTTACACAAGACAATTACAGGCACTGTTCAAGTACTTTTCAGGTATTTTAGACCCGCTATAGTAGGTAATTCATAAATGTGCATTATATAATAGTATGAGTGAAATCAAATGAAATCATTTGTTTTAGAGGTGTACACTTCAAAACATTTTCAGCAATGTATTTTTTGTGTTCTAATTTGTGAAGGAGTGGCTAGTTAGTAAATTATTGAGCTCCTTGTCCAAAAGAGATAAGGGGGCGGGTGATATTGATATGCTTTTTTTGGA